CAGGAGTGGGAGGGGCCGCGCAGGGGAAGGAGGGCCGCGGCCCGGGTTCCCGGTCACTCGGCCGCCGCCTCAGGCAGCACGCGCCCCAGAGAGGGGGACCAGTCTCACAGGGCGCCCATCACCAGACGCCGAGGGCCGGAGCCTCGAAACCTCGAAGCCTGAGGAGCGGCCCCCCCCGTCCCCGAGGCCTCCCCGCCCGCCCCGGGCCTGGCGAACCTCTTCCCCTCTCTGGCCGGCGCCGGCGGCAGAGGAGGGAGGGAACTGTGGGGAGGGGAGGGCCGCTCACCGCGGGGCCCGGGCTCCGCTACTTCTCTGGCCAAGAGGAGAGAAGACAGAAAGAACTGGGAGGAGGGGGAACAGGGAGAGAAAAGAGCAGTCACCCCACTAGGAGCCTTCTGTCAGCGAAGAAGGGAGTGCGGAATGGCCGAGCAGAAGAAGCGCGTCCGCCCGGGAAACTCTCCGCTTTAAATGGCGCCGATGTCTGAAGCCTCCACACAGCCCGCTTGGACCCCGCCCCCTGCTGCCCGGGGCGGCCCCGCCCACATCGCTCTCGGGGGCTCTCGCGCAGGCGTGCCGAGCTCGAGGCACAATGGGATTGGTAGTTTTAGAGTGGAAACCGTGAAAGGGACCAGGGAGAAAGGCGCCTACTACTTCCGTGATGCCCTGCGATCGTTCTAGCCTAGTACCTCCTGGGAATTGTAGTTCCTTTTTTGAAAACCGCCCCTTCTGAAAGCCTGATGGGAGCGTCATCGTGGGTCGCTCAATTCCATCCTAAAGTCAGTGCTCTCTACCAAAATCATTATTTAGGAATCAATTGCAAAAGCAAAAAAGAAAAGAGAGGGAAAAAGAAAAAGAAAAAAAAGTCATGAGGAGAGAACGAAAGACTTCCCGTCATGTTCTGCTTAAATAGCTCATAGAGCTGCCATGCAATGAAAAATGATCTGTTGTTCGCCTTTAATGGAGAGCCTCCTTAGTGTTGAGTGACTAGGGGTGTGGGAGTGGAGGGGGAAGGCAAAGCTGGATAACCAGAGCCCGAGCTCGAAGACTCCCGGGAAACTTTGTCAAGAGTGCACAAAAGATCACTGTTGATTAAATGGGTTAGGGAAGACAAATATATTCCATCCTTCTCCCCTCCACAACTTGAGACCACATGCTCGGCTCCCAAACAAGTATTTTGGCTGCGAAGATGGGCTGCCTACTAAATAAAACCCAAGATCAGAGCGAACCCTCTTTGCATGGCCAGAAACTTAACGTGGGGGAGGGAGAGCGGGTGACAAGTACGGGAGGAAGTCGGGTTCGAAGATGTCTTCATCTTTGATCTTTGACTACAAACTTGAGAGGGCATAGCTGACTTTCGCCTCTATAGTTGGATAAAATTCATTTACCTTTCATTTTGTTTTTTCCCTCCCTCGGTGGCTTAGTGAAACATCCTTTTCTTTACTAGACTTGCATATGTGTACATGTGTAATTTATATCAATCGAGAAACCTAGATCCGTACAGTTTACAGTAATGGAATTCTTTTCTTCAAAATATCCTTAGTGCTTCCTGGACCACCTTTGCTACTACCTAAGATTATAGTTGTGATGAGCACCAGGGGGCACCAGACAGAGTAGGAAGACAAATTTATGAGCCAGATGGCAGTTACAAGTCTTAACCCAACCGGTGAGAGCGGGAAGCGCTTAAACGTACGCAACCGCACCAGAGCGTGGAGACGCTGCAGTCTCAGCCCGGGACTGGAGCGAGCTCTGAAGCCCGCATTCTCAGTCCAAACCCCAGGGAGAGGAGCAGTAGTTTTGAAGCAGCTAAAAAATTCGTTAACTCACAGTATCTGGATAAACTCCGCTTAGAGAAGCCTTGCTATACGATTAATACTAACTTATCAGAAACGTTAAAAAAAAAAAGTTAGCACTTTCTTCTTTATTTTTTCTTACCAAACGCTACACTTTAATCTTTAGCGTTTGTTTGAAACCAATGGTTCTTCGATTTCATAAAGACGGCAGATTGCGAACACTTTAAAATATAAATGCAGTAATGACAGCAAGAATACTGAAATATTAGTGCTCTACTGTTTAAGAAAATCATTAGTTCGCTATAGTAAGGGTAAGTCTATTTTAGTAAATGTAATCAATGGCTTATCTCCAGACATAAATCTAATGTCAGCAAATGAGGAAATGGCTGTGAAGTGCATTTTGTTTTACTTCTTGAGGCTACTGACTATGCTTTTCTCAGGTGCTGCTTTACCAGAGAGAAGTTTGCTTATAGCACACAGAAACTAATTATACAGTGGTGGACTAGAAGGCCAGGAAATCGCAACGCTTATTTTTGTCTCTAAAAAAGAAATTAGGATACTTCTGTATGGGTGGTTATGAAAGAATTTTACCTATCTTTATTGCTTGTTCCTATTTACTAAGATCTGAAACTTTGGTCACACGGCAATGGGCACAACTTTCTTAACTATATCTACGACCTGTCAACATGTTGTTTCAAGCAGGAATACCTAAAGTCATTGTAAATAACTTAATAACCATTGGCTGTAAAGCCACACTTATCCACATGACGATTTTTCCTACATAGCTTTACTGTGAACACAGATATAATTTTGAATATAATCACTGTATGCAGGTTAGACTTAAAGTTTATACTGTAGTGTGGCTATCTCCTACATTTATTTGCTTGTTTCTCTTTATAATGCTTACCCTGATAATTTTCTGTTTCCCATGACTGTACTTCCTGGTAGTACTTTTCTTTTCTCTGGCACTTCAATTACCAAGTTCTCTTCCATTCACACAAAACAGCAGTGACCAGAGGATCTGTGAGCTCAGCACACAGAGAATGTGCTAAGTGGTCTGACATTTGACACATTGGCAACTAGGTAACAAAGAATGTAAATATTTTCTTCTTTCTCGCCATATTTTGTTTTGCTTCCTATTCCTGTTCAATTTCTTGATGTATGCTTCTTTCTACTTCCCATCCAAGCATATGTTATGTTTACACAATCTCCTGCCATTGGTAACTTACCAGCAGTGACAGCCAGTGGCAGCTTTAGCTTAGACAGTGGCTGAAATAAGTCGAACACATTGTATCTACCTGGCCTTGCATGTCACTCCGGACATAGGGTAGCTTCTTGGATTGTGGGTGAAAAGGTGCCATGGAGAGGCTCTGTTTTTATGTCCCCTCCCCCTCTTCTCCCATGTCCCTTTGACTTGCCTATGAGTAGGCTTTGTTTTCTTTCTGTCATGTGCAACTCTGTTTGGCCTTATTTTAAACGACAGCTCCTGTTAACCGCTTCACAACAGCTTGGACTTTCCAGGTCTAATGGGGATAGTACAAATGTCAACTTGAACATTGCTTCATTCGAGAAACCTCTCTGACCTCTTTACCTAGAAACAATCTTTGCTCCCCACAAATTTCATTATACATGTTTACCTCCGTGTCATAGATCATCTTCTGAAGTGTGCTGTTTTTATTTAGGCACACATCTTACATTCTTCTGTAAAATAGCGTCTACCATTGATCAAGCAGTTACTTTTATGTCAAGCATTTTACAAAAAGAAGCCTATTTAAACCTCACAACAACCTCTCAGGAAGTAAGCTTTTAATTCTTCACTTTAGGAGCAAAAGTCTAAGGAATAAAAAGATTAATACAGAAAGACAGTTCCACGGTTAAGAGTACTTATTGCTTTCTAGTAGACCCAGTTTGGTTCCTGGCACCCACATGGTGGCTCACAACTGTCTGTAACTCCAGCTCCAGGGGACCCGATATACTTTTCTGACATCTATGAGCACCAAGTGTGCAAGTGGTAGACCAACATACTTACAAGCAAAACACCCGTACACATAAAATGAAAAAAAATTAAAACTAAGGTTTTGTCTGAGACAGGGGATTGAGTTCAGGTTCAACTAATCTACCCTTAGAGTTTGTACCCTAACTGTTGGGCCTTAGCCTCCTCCAGTCATGCTTTCTGCACATTGCAGGCACTAAAGACCCTCAATTAATTTGTGACTCAATTAATCAATAAGACAAAAAGGCTGCTACTCATAGCTATTTATAGACCTTGCCAATTTCAGAAACTCCTTCTGACCCAAACATAGCATTAAAGTAGCTAAGACTGTAAAAGATTTAGGAATAAAATCAATTTGATCATTACTAAAACAAAACTCTACCAATACTAACATCGGCAACATTAGAATTAACCAAAGACACTGCTTCACAACCCCACGCAGGCTAAGCTGAGTTTGACATCTGTAGAAGAGGAGGTTACACATCTCAAAGAACTAAATGATGGACTGGGAATGTAGAGCAGTGGCAGAGTGCACACTGCCGTGCATAAGGCCTTGTGTCAGATCCCCAGTACAGCAAGAACACACACACACAAATTAAATAAACAAATAAATTACATAACTCTTTGATTGAACCCTGGTGTTCCACATGTTCAGAGAGAAAAGGAGCAGGTGTCACATACCTTTGGTTAACGTGAAATTTAATAAGTTAACGTGAAGCACAGGACAGTGCCTAATACAGGCACTTCCATCCCAACAGGAGTGAGAA